CAGGCCCCCCCCCCCCCCCCGCCTGCCCCCGCTGCCTGTCCGGGGTGCGGGCAGGGTGCCCTGCCTGTCATCCTCCCCTCCAGGGTGCAGGCAGGGTGTCCTGCTCTCTAGGGTGTCCTGCCCGTCATCCTGCCCTCCAAGGTGCAGGCAGGGTGCCCTGCTTCTCGTCCTCCCCTCCAGGGTGTCCTGCCTGTCATCCTTCTCTGCAGGGTGTCCTGACCATTATACTGTCCTCCAGGGTGCAGGCAGGGTGCCCTGCGTCTTGTCCTCCCTTCCAGGGTGTCCTGCCTGTCATCCTCCCCTCCAGGGTGTCCTGACCATTATCCTGCCCTCCAAGGTGCAGGCAGGGTGCCCTGCCTCTCCTCCCCTCCAGGGTGTCCTGCCCGTCATCCCGCTCTGCAGGTTGTCCTGACCATTATCCTGTCCTCCAGGGTGCAGGCAGGGTGCCCTGCCCGTCCATCCCCCCCCAACTAAGCCCTGGGTGCTGGCAGCTGGAAGGAGGCTCCGGGTCCCCTTGCGAAGCCACCCCGGCTCCCGGGTGCGAGGCTGGCACGGTGCCTGCGGGACAATCCGGTTTTCCCAGCTCCCGGGCTCAGGGTGTCACCCACGCAGCGCTGGTGGCACCCAGGAAGGTGCCGCAGGGCAGAGCCAGCCTCAGATACCGGCACCGGGAATGCACAGCCGCGCCAGGATCCAGCACCGCCATCCGAGTGGCCACAGCAGCCCAGAAATTAGGGAAAACTGGACAAATTTTGCCATGTGAGAGCAAAACCCAGAGCGACCGTCGCTGTGGGGGCCGCCCTGCAGCACCATCGCCGGTGCCGTGGCTCACGCGGTGCCGCCGGGAATTGGGAGGCCCCATGGCGCAGCCATGCAAAATTGAAGCAAAAAAACCACCAACCCAAGTTGGGAGTTTCCCCGCAGTTCCCCTCTTTGTCTCCATTGCGGAGAAAGAGCTTAATTAACGTCTGCGGAGAGCAGGGGAAGCTTTGTGTAATTGCTAGGTATTATTATCGATGGAGCGGAGGGTGATCAGCGGGGTGGGAGGGACAGGCACAGCCCACCTTCTTTGTATAAAATGAGGCATCCGAGGCGG